TGGGTCATCCTATATTGCTTCCCAGGCTACAAGCAGGGAGCTGGAAGGGAAGTGGAGCAGCTGGGATATGAACCAGCACCCATATGGGATCCCTGCGCATGCAAGGCAAGGATTTAGCCACTAGGCTATCACACTGGGCCCAGAGGCTCCACTTCTAATCCAGTTCCCTGCTTATAGCCTAGGAAGACAAGGCAGTTTGGCCCTGTACCCAAGTGGGAGACCTGGGGGAGGCTCCTGGCTCCCATGCCCAGCTCTGACCATTGTGGTCACTTGGGGACTGTATCAACAGATGGAAGATCTGTCTCTCCCCTTCTCTCTGTAATTCTTTCAAATAAAATAAACAGAAATTTGAAAAATTCACTGAAGGTCACATTGCTATCAATATGTACACTAAGCTGGAATTTGAGTTTAAGAAAATTATAACTATTAGACCTGGCACTATGACTCAATGATTTAAATCCTCCCCTTATAAACACTGGGATCCCAAATGGGTATTGGTTTGTGTCCCAGCCACTCCACTTCCCTTCCAGCTCCCTGCTTGTGGCCTGGGAAAGCAGTCGGGGACGGGCCAAGGCCTTGGGATCCTGCACCCACATGGGAGACCCAGAAGAAGCTCCTGGCTCCTGGCTTCGGATCAGCTCAGCTCCAGCCATTGTGGTCATTTGGGGAGAGAACCAGAGAATAAAGATCTTTTTCTCCGTCTCTCCTTCTCTCCATAAATTGATCTGTCTTCCCAATAAAAATAATAAATGAACTTAAAAAAAGAAAGTGATGACTGTGATAATAAGGCTGATTTTGTGACACTGCTTGAGATCTGCTCAGAGGAATTCCTGGAGGACTTGCTGGAAGGCTGAAACCAGCGCGCACATGCACTCTCCCAGGCGACATTGCTCCTCACAAGGATGACTTGCTTTCAGATCCACAGGCTCTCCAGGCACAGTCAAACGATCACACCCATTTACAAATACCAATCTACTTCGTCCAGTCCTTTCCTAACTAAAAATTACATCTCCGTATACCATAAATTACTTTTTTTTTTAAGACTTAAGGGAAAGAGAGAAAGAGAAAGCTCTCATTCGCTGTTTCACTCCCCTCAAACAGCCATAACAGCCATGGCTGGGGCAGCCAGGACTCAAGCCAGCACCCATGAGAAGCTGGCACTGCAGGCACCGCTCATCCTGTTACATCACAACGCAGGCCCCAACAACTTTAAGATAGGCATCCCTCACATGAAGACTTCGAAATCCTGGCCACAGTCAGATACAGAGGCTGGAAAATGAAATTATTTTCATTTCAGTTTTGGGTTTCAAGTTAAACCAACCTTAAGGAACTATCCCACACTTTAATGAAGTTGCCTTACAATTCAGTATTTGGAGGTCAGAACTTACATGGCACAGACCATGCCGACATTTTAAAATAAGTGGTTTTTATAAACTGTGGTTTAGCAGGAGTGTTTGTTGCACTCTAGTTATGAGTCAGAGTGAACAAAGTTATATGTGCGCACACACACCCCCCTCTAAGTGGGAAAAGCATTAAGAAACAGCATCAGGACACAGGCTGGCTTCGAATTCACACCAAGACCTGACCAAGGGTCTATCACAGAGGACTAGGGGTGGGCGTGGGAGGGGTATAGGTGTGGAAAAACTTCAGGGAAGTCATGGGATCCTCCATGGGGCTTCTATTTTCCGACCAGTGAAATCAAAGACGTGGACAGTTCCAAGTCACAATTCTCAGTCTTGGATTCCATTGCCGAGTGTAGCTTAGGGCTATGTGAAGCCCGGCAATTACGCCAGGCAGCGCTCCTTCTGTGTGCCTAGGAAGTCATGCCGCAGAGAGCAGTCAAGGAACGCAGGATTAGCTACAAGGAAGAAGAGACGAGCAAAGTGTCCACAGCTCCTGCTGGCACAGGCTCACTCCTGCTGGCCTAACACAGACAAAGCACCTTGGCCACCCTTCCACGGGACAGGAGCGGTTCCCATGCCTCACCACACCCACCACAGTTAGTTTTTCCTAAAAGAAAGCCAGCAGGGACTGCAAAAATATTGTGAAGCACCAAGTACTTTTTAGTCACTGCATGACTAACAGGGTCAATCAATTCTAAATTAAAGAAACAAAACTGTTTTCTTCCTCGCACAAAAACAAGCAAGCAGCTCTAAATGGGAACAGTCAAGGGGGCCTCGTGACCCAGTGAATCTTCGGGATAACATGAATTACCTGTTAGAATAGAGGGTTCCTGAGCACTGAGGCTCAACACAACTGCTAACCAGGCTACCGCCTTTCAATGCAATTCCCTCACTGGAAAGCCATGTCAGAGACTGCACGAGACTCATTACTGTTTTCCCCATCAATTAATCAATGAGATTAATTCATCAGAGATTAAGCTGAGCGGCCTGTGATGAGAGGGCACTATTGGACCAATTGGCTCACGGCAGCCAGGGAGCAAAGCAGGAAGCTGTTTCAGGTGTGTCTCGCAGGGCTGCCTCCACAACAGGACAGTCCTGGAGAACTTGTGTCTCGCTGCCTGACTCCTCCATCGGCACGTGTGCCTGTGTGTGCACACTCCGTGTGCGGCTTTGTCCACGTGGGCTGATGACTGCCCCCTTGGTCACAGCAGCAGTCACCTGCGCCTCCTGGCATTCTTTTCAGGAAGAACTCAGAACTGGGGAACTTTTTCTTATAAGTCAGAGAGACAGAGAAGTCACACAGAGATCAACCGCCTGGTGGTTCACTCCCCAGAATGCTCACAATGCTGCGGCTGGGTTGGACGAAAACCAGGAGCCCAGACCTCACCCGCGTTTCCTAAGTGAGTAGCAGGGATCCAGTTACTTAATGCCATCACCTGCTGCCTCCCAGGGTGCACATTAGAAGGAAACTAGAATGGGGCTGGTGCAGCAGCGAGCTAATCCTCTACCTGCCAAGCACCAGCATCCCACATGGGCGCCAATTCGTGTGCTGGCTGTTCCACTTCCCATCCAGCTCCCTGCCTGTGGCCTAGGAAAGCAATGGAGGATGGTGCAGGTCCTTGGGACCCTGCACCTGGCCTGAAGACCCAGCTCTCCGCTGTGGATCAGGTTGGCTCCAGCTGTTGTGGCCCAAATAAATACATACATACATACATACATTAAAAAGGGAAAATGGAATAGAAATGGAGCCAGGACTCAAACCCAGGCACTCCAATACGGGATACGGGTTTTCCAAGCTGTGTCTTAACCGCTGTGCCAAATACCTGCCCCAGAGCCGGGGTTACTCATCTGTAGGAGGCACATGAATTGCCTACAGGGAGTCAGGCAAGTCACCGAAGGACTGGTTTAGTGCTGGACAAACAACAGGAGAATTCACAGAAGCTGCCCATGTGACTGAGAAAGTCACGGCTGTCACTGGAGATGCAAGCAGGAACCTGGGCTGCGGTGGTCAGGGACTGCCAGCCTGAAGCGCCAAGCTCACACCTCCAGTCTGGGTAAAGCAAAGGAGATCCCTGGCTCTGGCGAGCGCTGCCAACCTCAGGCACTAAGTAGTCAGGCTGAGCCTAAAAGAGGCTGGGTTTCTGCCACCCTACCAGAGTAAGAACACAGGTTCTAGAATGAACCTGACCACCACCTCCCAGATCCTCGTCAAAATCCCGTCGGCCTGGGAAGGAGACAGCTAAAGCTCTCAAAATCAAGCTGCAACCTAGGGATCGGATGGGCTTCAACAGTGAGCCCAACCATGAATCCAAGGTCTGCGACCAAAACCAGCAGCAGACTTAGAAGGGGAGCCTTTAAACCATCCCATCCTTTTGCATTAGGACTGCAACTTAGCAACCAGCACTCCTCGCCAGCTCACTGAAGGAAGCATGCTAAACGGAAGGGGAAGGCAGTCACCGACCACCTTCACAGGGCCAGGCCCACTTCACAGTGCACTTGCACAGTTCCAACTTGCAAATTCCCTGCAGGTTGTCTCTTCCTCCAAGGCTAACGTCAACAGTGCTGCTGAAACACAAAGCTGAGGTTTTTGTTTTTTTTCCAACCCGGGTAAATGAAACAGAACTTTTCCAGTCCCATGTTCCACAAACACTCCATGTGCTAGAATCAAAGCCACAAGGCAGTAATTCTTAGATCAGATTGAAAAATAATTACTGTCATAAAAAAAAAGAAAAACCTTACAGCACCATTCGTGCCCAGGCCAAACTTTGCCTCCGCCTATAAAACTTAAAGGAACCCAACGCAATCTCACCTGGGAAGTGAAACCAAAGTGACATTTCAACCTGAACTCAATGACAGCATGTCCTTCAGTTGCAAAGGAAGTGCCTCATTTTACGGAAACAGCTTGAAAGGCACACAAGACAAAGTTTCGACTCTGAATTACCTCCAAGTCTTAATGCAAGCTCTCCCCTGGTTTCCCGCGAGCAAAGTGGGGGGTGGGAAGGGGGTGCCTGCGGCAGGCCTTCGGAAGCACCTGCGGGGCCTGCTCTCCGAAGGCCGGTTCTATTTTGGGGTCAAGGAGACACTCTGCCAGCCCAAGTGACCTCAAGTGGCCGAGACCAGTTTGGGAGAAGCCGCTGAGAGAGCTCTTTCCCACCAGGCCAACAAAAGCCCCTTTCGCCGCGCGCGTCCTGGAGCGGCGGACACGCTCCACCGAGGCGGCCCGAGAATGCGGCTGGGCTGTCCCGGGGTGGGGGGTGCTCACAGTCACTTTGGGGGATCCCGCAGCCGGCGGCGCCCAAAGCAGGGCTCCCCGGGGGCCAGGCGGAGGGAGGGAGCGAGGTTAGGCGCCTGCAGGTGTCGCGCGGGGAGGGGCCAGGCGCGCGGTTCCGACCGGGACAGCCCGGTCACACTGTCCAGGCCGGCAGTGACCTTGACCTGTGTGCACCTCTCGCACATGGCAGCGGGGCTCGGGGGGACGGTCGGGGGTGCTGCCTGCAGCGCTGCTCCACGCGAGCGCCCGGGACTCGGGGAGGCGCCGCGCGCGCCCAGGGGAGTCCCCGGGAAGGAGTGGGGGGCAGACCCGGGCCCGACACTCACCCAGCACGTCGGCGGAGCGGTGCCGGGCCACGAAGCACGCGTCGTCCCCGTAGCACGCGCCCTTCTTGAGGAGGCCCTTACGGAAGTCCTTGCCGAAGCCGCAGCCGGCCGTCACCAGCCCGTAGTCGCCGCTGCCGCCGCCTCCTCCGCCGCCGCCGCCCGCCCGGGGGTCGGTCTGCGAGAGGCCGCCGAGCACAGCGCGGGCCACCAGCCGCCCGTACGAGAGGACCGAGAACATCGCCGCCGCCGCCCCCCCGAGGAGGCGGGGGCCCGGGAGAGCAGGAGGAGGACGCCGAGGCCCCGAGCCGGCTCTCTCCTCAGCCGCAGCCGCGCCGCCTCCCGGGCGCTGCTCAGGGCGGCGCGCAGTGGCCGCCGCCGCCCCTGCCCGACGCGCGGGGCCTCGCACACGCTCAGCCGCACGCACCGGAGCCAGAGCGAGGTCAGAGCCGACGGCTCCTCTGCCTCAGCCCGACTGAGGTCCCGGGTGCGGGTGCAGCCGCCGCCGCCGCCGCCATCTTCCGCTCCACTAGCGTGTTCCGGGCCGCGCCGCCAGCGCCGCCCCCCTCCTGGCCACGCCCCGGCCACGCCCACGATTCGCAGGCCGGGCTCCTGCCCCGCCCCACGCCCGGACTGGCTGCCCTATGTAGTCACCGTGATTGAGCACGTGCTGAGGACGCAGGCGCGGTGGCTACTGGGAGTTGTAGTCCCCAAAGAGTTTTGCACTTGCTCTTCACTTAGCTACCTTAGGAGTTAGCAACTGGAGGGATTTCCCCACGTGGAAGACATAAGTTAAATGATTAAGAATTGGACATAGATTGGTTTAGGGGAAGGGTTCCTGCCAAGATTTTTTTAAATTTATGTATTTTGCACTGGAAAGGCCGATTTACAGAGAGAAGAAAGAAATATCTTCCATCTGCTGGTTCACTTCCCAAATGACTATATCAGCTGGAGCTGAGCCAATCTGAAGCCAGGAGCCAGGAGCCTCCTCAAGTCTCCCACGCAGGTGCAGGGTGGGGGCCCAAGACTTTGGACCATCTCCACTGCTTTCCCAGGTCATAAGCAAAGAGCTGGATGGGAAGCAAAGCATCAGGGACACAAATCAGCGCCAATATGCTATACTGACACTTTAAGGGGAAGGATTAGCCCGTTGAGCCAATAGTGCTGACTGCTTAACTATATTTCTAAAACATTATTTCAAAAGATAATGCCGGGCCCGGCACAGTAGTCTAGTGGCTAAAGTCCTTGCCTTACACACTCATCTCTGAAAAACATATGAAAATAAAATAAATCTTTAAAAAAATAATAATGCCACCTACCCTTTAAGCAAAAATCTGGGGGGAAAAAAACCAAGATTGCAATCACATCTTACTCCATAGCATACATATTGAACAGCTGAGATACCCAAATCTAGTGACACCTTCACAACTCATGTGCTACAAGTATTTAGGGTGACACTACCTTTGAAAAGCAGAGACTTCTCTGGGACTATGAGGAGAGCATGATGGAGACGTGGGGATGGCCACGCTGGCCAGCTCGTAAGTAGTGTTTCAAACTTTGCAGATGGCTGTGCCAGCTTGGAAGGGAAAAAAAAAATCTACACCTCCAACTTTTTAACCTTACGTCTTATTTTTCTGAATAGTCTACCTGGCCTCTGGAATGGGGGCCCAGGAAGGATACGGAGGGCCAAAGGCTTGCAAAGATGAGGCCCCTGTCTTTCGGGCCACACCTGCTTCCTCTTCTCATTAAGGGAGCAGCTCTTGGGCAACACAGGCTTATCTTTTTCCAAGCTCTTAACCTAGCTCTGACAGGTACCAGCCCTGGGCCTGGTGTGGGGCCCCGCAGGCTCTCGCTGGCTCCTGTCCTGGCTGCTCTGCTTTCCACTGCAATAGCCATTGCAGCTAACTGAGGAGTGAATGGAACAAGGATGGACTCTCTCTCCCTCTGTCCTTCTTTCTGTAAATCTGCCTTTTTAATAAAATAAATAAATCCTTAAAAAAAAATTCCAAGGTAGCCGTGCTCAGATATTGACTATTATTACAAGTAACTTCTGAAGTTATTCAGGTTGAATAACAGCTAAGTCTAATGGGGACTCTGCAATCTAGCAAGAAGACTCGCTCATGAAATATGTAATACGGGACCCGGCATGATAGTGTGATGGTTAAGATCCTCGCCTTTGATGCCGCCAGGATCCCATATGGGCGCCAGTTCTAATCCCGGCAGCTCCACTTCCCATCCAGCTTCCTAGTTGTGGCCTGGGAAAGCAGTCAAGGATGGCCCAAGGCCTTGGGACCCTGCACCCACATGGGAAACCCGGAAAGAAGTTCCTGACTCCTGGCTTCAGATCAGCTCAGCTCCAGCTGTTGCGGTCACTTGGGGAGTGAGTCATTGGACGGAAGATCTCCTCTCTGCCTCTCCTCCTCTCTGTATATCTGCCTTTCCAATAAAATAAATAAATTAAAAAAAAAAGAAATCTATGCAATACCTTTGTTTGTATGAATGACACAAACATGTGGGTTACACACCATGCCTTATAGGGACAGTATATGGTCCAACCTGAGTACCTCTTCCACCCCATTTACTGTTGTGTCCTTTTTCTTTTTTTTTAAGATTTACTTATTTTCATTGCAAAGTCAGATATACAGAGAGGAAGAGAGACAGAGAAGAAAAAGAACTTCTTCTGATGATTCATTCCCCAAACAACCACAAAGGCCAGGGCTGTGCTGATCTAAAGCCAGGAGCCTGGAGTCTCTTCCAGGTCTCCCATGTAGTTGCAGGGTCCCAAGACTTTGAGCCATCCTCGACTGCTTTCCCAGGCCACAAGCAGGGAGCTGGATGGGAAGTGGAGCTGCAGGGATTCAAACCAGCACCCATATGGGATCCCAGTGCATGTGTGAGGTGAGGACTTTAACCAGTGAGTATTACATCGGGCCCTGTCATGTCTTTTTGCTAACGAGGCTCCAGTCCTGCTCACAGCTGCCTCATTGTAACATAAGCCCATCATCTGGGAATCCTGTGTCTCCTGTTGCTGCATTTCCATAACATCTTGGCACATAGTAAACACTTGCTTAAATTAATGGAGAACTCACTAAATTCCCTAAGGGAAAGAATCATTTGCCATTGTATTATTAGAATCTAATGCAATGCCTGGCACACGGTAGGGGAGTTTATGACTGTCTCTTAAACACAAGAAGGAATAATGCAATGGGAACCATAAATAATAGTGTTTGCTGATAAGGGGAATGAGTGAATGCATGAACCTCCCAAACAAAAAGAAACTGAGCTTTGCGATAACCCATCCAGCGTGGGATAATTTTCGTTTTTTTAGAACCTGAATACATGTCACTAAGGGACACTGGACCCTCTCCAGTTCCCTTTGGACAGGCCTGGAGTTACTTTAGGGATTCCTGTCCCATTCTTTTCAATAGTTTTTAAATAACTTTCTTTATGTATCCGGAGGACTCCCAGCCATCTACTCCGCACACTTCACTCTAAGATCCTAGTGACTGGCATGCTTAGACATTCTGGATGGTTCTGTTCTCAAGGGTGTGTGTTAGCATAAGATGTAAAGTCCCTTTCATGTAGGTGGCATTCTGGTCAAGTATGCAGACCAACAACAACCGTACCTTGCTATTTTTTTTTAACGGCACAAGACTTGGCAAGTGCCCAGGAGTTGGGGGTGGCGCCTTCTGGATTCCTGGGCTTGGCATTTCTGCCCCTGCCAGCTGAGTTAAAGGTTGTTCTTTGAAGCAACACACACCGAGACCAGATGCCGGCTAGCCTGTCAGGTAATTCTACCCCAAGGACAAACTTTTTAAAATAGCATGTCAACCCTTCTTCCTTGTCGCATCACGCTCCTTCAGATCACTGCTGCCTGTCATTTTCGAGGGCTCGCATCATGTGATTTCCATGTCAGTCACAAGAACCACTTGGCTAGGAACAGAAGATGGGAGCTCCAGCCAATGACCCCCCCTCCCTGCGCTGCTCGGATGGGTCAGCTGTCCTCACAGCTAAGGGACACCTGTGCCTCGAGTTTCAGGCAAACGAGCTTCCTGCGAAGCAGCCCGCTGCTCACTGACGCTATTGCAAACAACACCCCTTTCTCAGGGCTCCTCAGCACTGTTAGGAAAAGGAGAGGAGACGGGGTCTCAGGTTCCCCCTGAATCAATGATTCCAGTGCAGCTCTGAGGTTCCCCCCTCATCGTGGGAACGCTGGGAGAGGGCATTTTAACAACTGCTTTCCCTGAACTACCCCCCTGCCGCCCGGCCCCACGTGGGAGCTTCGTGTTGGACCTTTTGCCAGACTTCAAAAGCTCTGAGTTTTCTTCCCTGACAGAGTTACATTCCTAGCACTTCAAGGATTCCTGGGAGGTCACTTGCCACTCTCAGGGGCAAACAAGTGATGAAAATACCATTTAGGCTCCCAGGGCACCTCAACTGGCATTAGGCAAGAGCTCAGCACTGGAGCCGCCCCCAAACCTCCAAGAGAGACGAAGACAAAAGAGCGCAAAGGGGCGGTTTCCCGGAGAGAATCCCTGCCAGATCCCACGTCCCTGGATCCAGTCCGATCCAGTCCCTGGATCGCTTCTGACTCCTGCTGCTGACCTAGTCAACGGAGCGCTCGCTGGCTAAAGGCTTCTCGGCTTTGGCACTGCCCATAGCTAGTCCCGGGAGAATCTTGGGCTGCAGGGGACCCAGCAGCAGCCCCGCCTCTTCGCGCCGGAAGCCAGTGGCGCATTGCCTGCCCCCAAAATGGGACAAAAGTGTCTCCAGATACGTTCACGGGGTGGGACGAAAGTGCCCTGGGTTTAGAATCGTTGGATCATGGCCTTGTAGTGCAAGAGAACAAATGTTTGTCCAGATCTTGTTATGTTCAAGGCACCAAGTTCATAATTTAAAAAAAAAAAAAGAAAACAAAAACAAAACACAGTAACTTCACAGCATAGTAGGCAATTAAAAATCAAGTAAGAAGAAAGAAAAAAAAAATAGCATTGCCAGCCAACATAAAGATGAGGTCTGTGCAAGATAAAATAGGATGCATTGGGGTGTAAGGATACAGTGGGAACCCTCATGAGCAGGTGGCATTTGTGACAAGCAGAGGTCTGAGGAAGGGCCAGACTTATTTGGAAAGAAAGTACTGGAAATTCAATGGAGGCAGAGTGTGCTGGGCGAAGGAAAGCCGACTGAGTGCGCCTTACCTTAGGATTTGAAAGAGAACTAAGGAGAAACTGGAATAGAAACACAGTTTAGGATCTAATCAATCACACGAAGGAATGAAATGGGGACGAATCCCCAAAACAACATGCTGGATGAGAGAGGCCAGACACAAAAGGCCACACATCGTGGGACTCTATCTACTTACGTGAAATGTCTGGAGAGGATAAATCCGAGGGGATAGAATGGACTGGTGGCAGCCAGAGCAGACAGAATGGCAAACAGGGTGTGACTGCTACATGGGCACGGGTTTCATTCTGGGGGTGGTGGGTGAGAAAATGTTCTGGAGTTAGATAATGGTAATGGCTTCACATCTT